GAGTCCATCTTACACCTGTCAGAATGGCTAAGATCAATTATATAAATGACAGTTCATGCTGGTGAGTATGTAGGGCAAAGGGAACACTCCTCCATTGCTGGTGGGGGTACAAATTTGTACAGCTTCTATGGAAATCTATATGGCAGTTCCTTAGAAAATTGTAACTTATCTACCTCAAGACCCAACTATACTACTCTTGGGCATATACTCAAAAGATGCTCCATCCTACCACAAAGACACTTGGTCAATTATGTTCATAGTGGCTTTATTCATAATAGCCAGAAACAACCCAAGTGTCCCTCAAAGAATGGATAAAATGTGGTACATTTACACATGGACTATTACTCAGCTGTTAGAAAAAATAACATCGTGAAATTTGTAGGCAAATGAATACAACTAGGAAAAAAATATCATCCTGAGTTATGTAACCCAGAAAGACAAACATGATCTGTGCCCAACCCAGTCATCATCAGAGAGGCTTTCTTTGGCAGCTGATGGGAACAGATGCAAAGAGCCACAACCAAACATTAGGTGGAGCTTGGGGAACCCGGGGGGGGGGGGGAGATTTTAGGAGCCAAAGGAATCAAGGTCACCAAGGGAATATGGTCCACAGAATCAACTAAGCAGGGCTCATAGGTGCTCACAGAGACTAAAGCAACAATCACAGAGCCTACATGGGTCCTCTGCATACGTTATAGTTGTTTAACTTGGGGTTTTTTATAGGACTCTTAACAGTGAGAGCAGAGGTGTCTCTGACTCTTTTACTGCTCTTGGGACCCTTTTCCTCCTACTGAGTTGCCTTGTCCAGCCTTGATATGAGTATTTGTGCCTAATCTTATTGCATCTTGTTATACTGTTTTCTGTTGACATCTCTAGGTAGCCTGCTCTTTATGAAGGGAAACAGAGGATCAGTGGAACTGGGGGAAAGGAACTTAGAGGGGTGGAGGGAGGGGAAACTGTAGTCAGGGTGTACTGTGTGAGAAAAAAAATAAATAAAAAGAAAAAAGATTAACACACACACACACACACACACACACACACACACACACACACACACGTGTGACTGCAGTTCTCAGAGGCCAGAAAAGAACACCAGATCCCCTGGAATTGGGGTTAGAGGTGGTTATAAGCCACTGCCAATGTAGGTGCTGGAAACCAAACTTGAGTCCTCTGTAAGAGCAACAAGTGTTCTTACCACTGTGCCATCTCTCCAGCCCCAGGATTCCATCTTTTAAAAATAAAAACAAGCAGGGGTGAAGTTTGGGGACCTTTATAAATGAAACCTGTGAGGAGCCATCACATCAGCTTTTTCTGGCTTAGACCACCCACTCCAGTCCTTCCCTGGGAGGCCACGCACACACAAGCTTACTAGGGAAGACACAGGATGAAAGCAATCCCTCCTTCCTCATCCCCCAGAAGATCAACTACTGCAGCTCTCTCTGCTCAGAATCAGGATTAAGAGCAAGCAGTTTCCTTTCTCCCCTCATTTCTTCTCCACACCGCCTGGGGCCTGTGGCAAGACGAGGCTCACACTGCCCCCTACTGCCCAGTCACATATTCTCTCTTCCTTGACCACTTTTAGCTCCCACTTGAAAAAAGGAAAGCAACAGAATACCCCCACAAAAGTCAAATGTCTTTATTTTATATATAAAAAAAATTTGTACAGTTTTAGTTCCTATGTTTAAGAAAAAAATCCCTAAAGTTGCCATAATGTTTAATCCACTGCAAACTGTAAAAACAAGCTTTTTATATATTAAAAAAAATTTACATTTTACAATTTTCTACATGCATGCACAAGGTCTCAGCTCTGTAACCAAGAAAAGAAAGGAAGGAAGGAAGGGAGGAGGCAGGGAGGGAGGGAGGGAGGGAAAGAGGGAGGGAGGGAGGGAGGGAAGGGAAGGGAAGAAAAAAGATAAAATAAGAAGGGGGGAAGAAAAAGGAATAAAAAAAATCTAGATCCAACAATGGAGAATTCTACATTTACAATCTCACTGGGAAGAGACTCAAGAAGCCCCTTCCTCCGCACACAGAATAACGAATTACAACAGTCACACATCAGAACAGAATCCATCAGTAGATGTTGCCCCACAGGGAGAACAGAGTGGGGAGGGGGATTGACAGACACCAGGAAGAGACAAGGCAGAGCTAGGCCCAACCAACAGGGAAAGCACACACCCTGGGAAACAGACATTTGGAGTGAGGACCTCCCGGGACTCCTGCCTCCTTGTCGTTATTAAATCAGGGTTTACAGTGGGAATGCTGTGGCTGGCTAGGAGCAAAAGCATAAGGGAAGAGATGGAAGGAAGGGGAAAGGAGTGAGAGAGACTGGAGGGACATAAATATAAACAGAGAACAAAAACACATATTTAGGAGAACCTAGAAAGGAACCAAGGGGAATAGTGACAGAGTGGCGAGGTAGGTGAAGGACTGAGGCACGGTGTCCTGGTGTGGAGGGAAGAGAGGTAAGCACTCCAAGGTCATGAAACAAAGGCCAAGTTGTGCAGTGGGGATGAGCTGGGATGCCACACAGACAGAGAAACAAGTGAACTGAAGTAGCCCAGCACAGCATCCCCTATGTGGATGGCGTTGGGCTGGGTAGGCACATTCCTACAGTGGAAGGATAGAAGCCGAATGAGTGCTGGGGCAGGGTTGGTGGGGGAAACTGCTCAGAGGGACTGGCCCAGCTGCCCACCCACAGCAGTTCACAGCATGAGGACAGCGCCCTATTCTGGAGAAGCAAAAGACAGACACACATACACCTCTCTCTCTCTCTCTCTCTCTCTCTCTCTCTCTCTCTCTCTCTCTCTCTTCCTCTCTCTCTCTCTCACACACACAGAGATATACACTTGACAATTCATCCTGACATTTTAAAACATAAATCACAACCAAAGTAGACAAAGATACCACAGTTCTGACACAAAGGACCAAAACGCTACCATTCTTAGTCACAGCCCTTAGTGCTTAGACAGAGAGTCAGGGAAACTTTTTCTCTTCGTTTTAGGGGAAAGGAATGAAAATATCACAGTGATTAAAAAACATGGCAGGTTCTTAAAATAAACACTCCCGTGCCCCTAACCCTAGGGCATCAACTAAGATCCCAAATATTTTTCTTCTGCCCACCCCCGCCCACTGCTCAAACCAACACCACACCCCATTCTTGCCCGCAAAGGCAGTGACCCCAATCACTATCCAGGCCCTGCTATTCCAGGATAGTGAGGTATTTATGTGACCCAAAAAGGACTCCTCTGAAACCTGATTTTCTTCCTTTTTTTTTTTTTTTTGTTTTGTTTTGTTTTTTGTTTGTTTGTTTGTTTTAAGAAAAGATAACCCAAGTACAGATTTATTTCACTGTAGTCTATCCAGGAACCTCTACTACAGCCCTAGACTCACCTTAAGGCCCTGTCTAAGTCAGTTCCAAAAGCCCATTCCTGTGAGAACAAAGTAAGCACTAATGGATGAGCCCCTTAGTAAGGGGGGAGTGGGCTGCGGATCCCACAGCCTCACAGCAAGATCAATGGGGACCTCATCTCAGCGTGGGCGTGGCATGGCAAATACCAGTAACATTTCCAGGGAAGCGAGGCCTATGCAGGGGCTTTGGGAGTTGTTTAGAGAAGCGGCCCAGGGCCATTGCTCCATCCCAGCCATCAGAACCATCCTCCACATGGATCCCAGAAGGATGGATGTGGTTATTTCCTATTTTTTTCCCTGTGATAAAAAATCATTTAAAGGTGTCTGATTTAAAGGCTCAAGTTGGCTCTGAAAATATCCATTAGAGGGTTAGTGAATCCTGCTCAAAGTGAGCTTTAGATTATTGAGATTCAGATTTGGTGCAAAGGCTATGTTAGTTAAACTGGGGAGAGGAGCTAAGAGCCACAAAAGGCAGGAATCCTGGTCCCTCACCCCAATATAGAGCCTAGAAAGCCAGGCAGGGAGCGAAGAGGATGGGACCCTAGAAGGCCATGGAAAAGAGACCCCTGAGGCAAAGAACTGGACGTAAGGCAGGGCATGAAAAGGGGCTGCTGGCCCCTCCCCTAAGAAGAGATGAGGCCACAGGTCTCTAGAGCTGGAAGTCAGTGGGCCTGGGGAAGCTGGAGCAGAAAAGAAAAATGTCTTAGACCACAGGGTTGGGCAGGGTCTGCACATCCTCAAGTCTCAACAGAAGTCAACATTCATCCTTCACGGGCAAGGATGGGAATGAATGGCTCAGAAGAAATGAAGGTCAGTGACAAGGATCTCTCCGACCTCAGGGGTCTATCCTGCCCTTCTCCTCAGGAGTTGTCCACAGCCCTAGTAAAGTGGTCAAAACAATTTGCCTACACTCATGTGATCACACAAATAGCAGTGAAGACTCCTGGGTAGAAGAAGGGAATTCCCACTTGGGGTGTGTGTGTGTGTGTGTGTGTGTGTGTAGCAGGAAAGTACAGCTGTAACAATGGGAAGCAAGTAACACTGCAGGGAAAATACTAACTCTGTGACTACTGTCACAGGTGCATCCTTGCCCAGGTATTCAGGGCTATGGGAGGGGACAGGGGATAGGGTCAGCTGCTGTCCTGCAGGAGTTTGGCACCGCGGCTCTCTGGGGTCAAAGCTGTGCCCCCCAGAGAAACCCTATTAGAGTCCACTGGAGAGCAGGGCTCTAAGAACTTAGGTTTGTTAAGTGGGGGCTCAGAATTAGGGTAAAATCAAGAAGGCCCTGTGCCCTTTGAAAAGGGACCTCCATCCAGGAGACACTTTGGGGAAGAACTGGGTTAGAGGCACTGTTTCCTGCAGAGCCTGGAGTGACACAAACTTGGGGGGCAGAGTGGTTCCCAGATACTGTTAAAGCAAGGTGGTCTCTCCACATTTACACGGGAAAACTGAGGAAGAGGGGGTGGAGAGCAGATACAGGATAAGTTAATTCAAGTAAAAAACAAAACAAAAACAAGAGCAAGAGGAAGTAGGGCGGCAGAAATGTGACCAGGTCAGAGACCTGAGCCACTCCCACTCTGCAGGAACCCCCACGTCCCCTCCCCTGACGCTGCAAAGTCACACGGAGGTCTCCGACTGCAGCCGCATGACGAACTTATGTGATTTGGGATCCACAAATTCCTCAGAGAGTTTGAAGAATGGCACCTTCTTGGTGCTCACCACCAGGCTGAAGTCCTGGCGTTTTAAGAGGAAAACGATGCCATCCTTAAGCCCATTGGTCACAGGCTCCTCGCTCACCAATGTCCACTGTTTGGCCAGCCAACGCTCCTTGTGGTATTGGATGGTGGGTCCAGCTGCCAAATATCGCTCCAGGAAGGCCTGAGGAGGGGAGAAGACACTGCCTGGGCATCTCTCCCGCCCACACCCTTCATTCCCTGCCACACAGATTCCAAAGACAGTCTAGATGTTTCAAGCTCACTCTACACACATGAACAAGCTTCATCTGATGTGAGAGGAGAGGGCCTGTGAGAAGCTCAGTGTGTAGATGAGAAGGACAACATGCACAGACTTGACAGAGCTCCAGTCGGGACCATAATTCACCCCCATCCTTCTCTCTGTTCCTTGCACCAGGCTGTGCCCAGAGCAACTCGACCCTCATTCTTCCTCCTCTCTTCCTTCCCTTCCATCCAGCTTATATGATTAGCACCATGTAGGTCTTCACTTGGAGGGAAGTGCAAAAGTGTGTACGTGTATGCATGTGTGTGCATTTGTACACATGTGTGTATGCGTGCATGTGTATGCACGTGTGTGCGAGTGTTTTGCTGGTAACTGAAATCAAGAACTCAGGCCTGCCCTAGCACTGAGCTACATTCCCAGCCTCCTTATCACCCACTCCCCAAAGAAGGCTCCGAGAAAGCCACTGTAGGAAGCTGGCAACTGGGCTGAGGTAAGCAATGGCTAAAAGGAAGCACAGGCAAATGCTTACTTTGTGGGTGAAGAGTCAAGAGGTTAAAGGTGAGACTTGGAATGTAGACATTCCAGAGCCTTATAAAGAAGAGAAACTGGGCTCTGACATCCCCCAAATGGTTCAGAAGCCTATCCTTGCCTCCTCCACTGCACACAGACAGGACAGGACAGATGGAATGGGGATGAGAAAAGAGATTACAAAGAAGAGGTGAAGATGAGACAAAGAGAGGGAAGGTGAGTGAGGAGAGAACCAGGGAAAGGGGACACAGGGAAGTGTAGAAGCAGCAGGCCTACCTTGGGCGTCATGTCATGAGTGATGCAGAACTCCAAGTGCTGCAGGATGCTCTCCATGGTGTGGTAAGGCTGCTGCTTGGTGGTCCGAAGGTACTTCTGCATGGCACGGGCCATGGATGCAAAGATGGCTTGGGCTGCTTCCCGGGGATCCATCACCTCCCTGGGGTTCTTCTGCTCCTCTTCCTGCAGCCGCTTTATGTGAGTGAAGGCCTCCTCCACAGCCACCACGAGCCTGGGGGACAGGCAGTATCTGCAGTGGATGCCCACCGCTCATCCTACCCTCTACCCATTCATTGGTTGACTGCTGCAGCCAGAGTGAGGTCAGGACTCTCTGCTCTCTCTGAAGTAGTTGAAGCCCATTTAGAGCCAAGGGCATGGGGATTAGGAGATGGGAGCGGTGTTTTCCTCACAGGCAACAAGGAACAACTGTAGGACTCAGTGGACTCAGACTAGGGACTTAAAATGAACAGGCCTAGCATCAAGTCTAGAAAGACACCTAGGAACTATGTACTGAAAAGGCCAAGTATCCCACAGGACCCTAGAATAAGACTCCACACCACACTGCACCATAAAAAAAATTCATAGACATAAGTAAAAGGAGATGGCTCCTCCTTCTCATCATCATCATCATCATTTGTGTGGGGGGGGGGCATGCACATGCCTTCTGTGGAGGTTAGAAAAGTCCCTTCTCTCTTTCCCACACATGGCTTCTGGGAACTGAACTCAGGTCATGAGGCCTAGCAGCAAGAGCCTTTAACTCCTGGCCCTGGAAATGACATGTCTGTTCAGATACAGTAACACGGGCAGTGCTGACACCTGAATGGGGGAGGGGGAGGGGTTGGGGTATCAGCAGCAACTAAACCCAACAAAGAACTGGTATCTAAAACACACAAAGAATTCACTACAAATCAGGAAGGAAAGGGTAAGAATCTTTAAAATAATGAATAAAGGGAGGTTGGTAGGGTAGTTCAGCAGCAAAAGGGGCTTGCCACCAAGCCTGACAACCTGAGTTCTACACCCAGGACCTGCATAGTGGAAGAAAAAAACCCATGCCCAAAAGTTGTCCTCTGACCTCCATATGAACTCTGAAGTCTGTGTGGCCACATATACTCATAAATAAATATGTAATTTTTTTTTAATGAAAGGAACTAGGAATGATGACACATTCCTATAATCCCAGCACTTGGTAAGCAGAGGCAGGAGAATCACAGATTCCAGGCCAGGCTGATCTACTTAGTGAGACTGTCTCAAAAAACTAAGTAAATTCAAATAAAATCATACCAAGGAGTAAAGGACTCATATGAAACCTGAAAGATACTAGGCAGGTAGAGATATAAATTAACATTAATAAAGGGCTGGAGAGATGGGTCAGTGGTTAAGGGCACCAGCTGCCTTTAATTCCAGCACTCTGGAGGCAGAGACAGGTGGATCTCTGTGAGTTCAAGGCCAGCCTGGTCTACAGAGCTAGATCCAGGACAGCTATAACTGTTACACAGGAAAACCCTGTCTCAAAAAAATTAGAAAAAGAAAGAAAGAAAGGAAGAAAGAAAGAAAGAAAGAAAGAAAGAAAGAAAGAAAGAAAGAAAGGGAAGTTAACGATAATCCTAATAATCCTAGCACTGGGCATTCTGTGAACTACGGCACAACGACATGTGATGAGTGGGACACGAAGAACACATGCGTGAACCTGAAAATACAGTGAATAGGGAGAAGAAAGCAGTTTAGCAGGAGGACCTGTATGAGTTTGAGGTCAGCCTGCCAACATACAAGTTCCAGGCCAGCCAAGGCTGCATAGATGACTTTATCTCAAGAAACAAAAGTCAGTCTACACTAACTGTACAGAGCCAACAAACCAACAACACATCATTTGCACAAAAACACAAGCAGGTTTTAAAGGAACTCAAAGTAGACTCAAGTAGATGAAGAAAGACTATGAAGAAACCACGACCACAGAGCTGAGGACAGTGAGAAGTGTTCTGCACTCTAAGTCCAAAAACCAAAATAAAACCCACTGACCTAAGAGTAGGACTGGCCTGGAGAGACTGGAGAAGAAAGGATATGAGGTCTATATCTCAGAATCCAGACACCTCAGTACTTCCCTGAGCTCAGGATAGGACTCTGGGCCGGTAAGTATGATTTGTCTACATGCCTCTTTTCTGTACATCTTTTTGCCTCCCCCTAAGTTTCTTAGCAAAGTTTCTTTTGAAAAGAACTTTTTGTTTCAGGTGAACCAAAGTTTCCTACCAGCTACAAGCAAGGTAACAGGAAAGGAAATAAACCCATGTGCCAAGAGTGACAGTGGCAGGCCATGATGTCCAAGACCCTAATCAGGGAAGATGTCACAGAATTAGAACTGGTGGTGATATTCACTCTGTCCATTCCTATTGCACTGACCATGCCCACTGGAAGGTGGGGACAGGTACAGATGTGACCTGGGGGAACTAGGACTGGGACAAGGGATCCTGGAGCTCTGTCCTGCTTCCTGGAGCATCCGAAGGCATCCCTGGGACTGGAACCTGCTGGCGTTCATCTGTCTCTGTTGTAAGTTATTTCTCCCTGAATAAATATCTATTCAGCCTATCTGTTTTCCCCAATTCTTATTTTTCTATGATAGTAGTCTTTGTTTTCCAGGGGACGCCAGCTATCTTAAGACCAAGACTGGGCTGTCTCTCTGCCCTGAAGCCTAGAGATGGGAAGGGTAGATATTCTAGTCTGTTCCTCTCTTCTCTGGTGAAACCCTGGAAGCTCCAGATAGAACCCGGCTGCAGCCAGCACTGAGAAAGACTCTTCAGGCGTGATTGAAGTTCTTATAACCAAGGGGAAAGTGAAGACAGCATTTAAGCATTTACCAAAAGAGGCCAGGTGTGGTGGGACACACCTTTAATCCTAGCTCTTGAGAGAAAGAGACGATCAAATCTCTGTATGTGTGAGGTTAGCCTGAGCTACATAGTAAGTTCCAGGCTAGCCAGGCCCTATCTCAACAACAACAACAAAAAAATCTCAACAACAACAACAAAAAAAAAATCCAAGTTATGATGGCCTATACTTTTAATCCCAGCACCAGGGAGGCAAAGACCAGCAGATCCCTGGGACCTGGTAGCCAGCCAGCTTAGTCTAGCCTCCTTGGTGAGTTCCAGAGCAATGGAGAGACCATCTCAAAACACAAAGAGGACAACATCTAAGGAACAATAGCCCATGTTGTCCTCTGGCCTCCACATGCATGCACACACAAACATACACACAAACACATATACAAATTAATAAATAAACAAATATCCTTCTGGGCCTGAAAACCAGTCTTCCCTGTAGATGGCAAAAGTCAGAAAGAGTAGGCTCCTGTTAGAAAAAGCTGGAAACTGTGGGGAGACATGACATGCATGTGGTTCCATCAAAAGCCAGGGAGCTTGGAAGAAAAGCCCAGGCTCAGAGGAGAGCTGTTCAGATTTTAGCCTTCAAGGTCCAAGCAGATGCTCCAGCAAACCTGAACCTGACCCATGGAACAAAGCGATAATAAATGTGCTGTTTTACAGTTGCTGAATCTGTAGTAACCAGTCGTGGCAGCACCAGAAAATGAATACGCAAAACCTACATCATCACTGTTCTATTTCCAGCAGTTATAAGAACTGGGCTTCCTTTCCCCCGTTCATCCCACAGGCACCACCATCCCCATTCTATTGGTTCTTCCCCTCCCTCAGGGTATTCATCAAGCCCTGAACTCACACAGCCGATACCCACCTGGCTCTGCGCTTTCGCACTCTGCGCTCATGCTCGGCTTCCTCGTAGTAGTACTCATTGTGGCTATTGTCCCGCCTCCGTGCCGCTGCTGCAATCACAGCCCTTGACTGGCCAGTGGAGTTATTGGTGCTGTTTTCTGCATAGGATCAGGATAGAGGAGATGGTCAAAAAAAGAGAGTGCAGCCTCTGCATTTGTTGGAGCTCTGGAAAAATGGCCTGATACATCCAGAGGCTATGTCCCCACCACCCAGCAATGCCTCCCAGTCCCAGCCCTCCTGACCACCTCTGGGAAAAACTGCAGGAAAGCAACCAGGAAGGCATTGGGAGGGCAGAAGTCCTGGATATATGCCTCCTGATGCAGAAGGCCTTGCAGCTCAGGGCGGAAGGGTAGAGAGACCAGGGCTCTGAGAAGACACAGGCTCTAAACCAGGGGTACACCGTTGCATAAAGAGGATCAGCAGCTAAGACCAGCTACCTGAAGTCAAGGGAAACGACAGAACGGAGGGGGCTGGGAAGGAAAAGGCAAGGGAAGTAGCTTGGAGTCCTGCTTAGGAAGAGGCCGGGAGGGGCGGAGGAGCAGGGCCGCTCACCCTCTCCGAGAGAATACACCTTGAAGCCAGACACTTTCTTGGCCAGGACGGACTTGGGCAGGTTGAGGAGGGCGGGGTTGTAGACAGGGAAGTCATGGTAATACTTCTCCAGGATCCACACTGCCACTCGCTGGATGCTGTTGGGGAGACGGCAGGAGGGGGAGGGAGAAGGGACAGACAAGGGGCGCAGGGGAAGGGACACATCAGGGCAGGTCGGCAGGGCTGGAGAGGACACATGACAGGGACGAGCTGCTTCCAGGAAGCCTGGCTCAAGCCTGAGGTCTACTTACCAGGCCCCTAACCTTTCCCACAGCTGGGTCTTCTAGTCATTTCCTACCATGCTGAAGCCCAGGGGTAAAAGGGCCCAGCCAAAGGTATCCTCATCCCCCTCTAACAGTCTCCCAAGGAGGGTTACTGACAGGACCTGGGAGGTGCCGCTGATGCTCTGCACAGCCAGGAGGAGGGAAGGGGACATCCTGTCCACAAGCCTGGTGGGATTGACTGTCTATCTCTCCCTCTGGCCAGTTCATCTCAGTAACATGTACTGACTTCTCACAGGAAGCTGTACCTCCAAGAAAAGGTTAGGAACTTTCTGTTTGTACCCCACACCTCTCTCCCCCTTGGTCCATCCTCCTCTAAGATTTTGAATCCCCCCATCACTGTCTGTTCACAATCCCACAGGCATCTTGCCCACAATTCAACATATGACTTTGCCATTAGGCTGAACTCTTACTGTGTGCAAACTCCCTTCCACCCAGCCCCTCTAATCCATCATCTATCATCCCCACCATCATACTCTCCCCCTCCCCCAAAAACCCTTTCAGGTCTCATCTTTGCCCTATGCAAGTCCCGCCTACTGCAGCACGCACCACCCATACCTGAGATGGCCAACGTTGTAGAAGCGGCTGGCCCCATCTGTGGACCTCACCACCTTGAGTGTGAACTGGGGCTGGAGCTGGCGCAGCTCCAGCAGAACTACGGCCAGGTAGTGCACGAAGAGTAGGGCATCCACCAGCGAAACAGCAAACTGAACCACACCCTGGTAGCTGCGCTCCCGTGCATCCAAGATGCGCACACCATAGAAGAGCCAGTAGGAGATAACAAGCAGAAAGACGAGCACCATGAGCAGGGCACGTAACACGAAGACTCGGGGCAGCGAGGCCTTGGGCCGGCGGAAGAACAGAGCCCAGCTGCCCAACAGCAGGATGAGCAGCTTGAAGGCCACGGAGATGAAGAGGCCCTCACATGCTGTCCCACACGGCTCCAGCTCCTCCCGCCACAGCAGTGGAGGCAGAAGCAGGAAAGCCAACGGGGTGAGGAAAGACAGCAGGGCCAGAGTGGCCCCTGCTGCCACGCCCAAATGGCGTGAACAATCCAGCGGGACACTGTCCTCCATGTCCTTGGCAATGCGTGTGAGGTCATCGTGGGAGATGCTGTGCTCAGAGGTGCCTGTGACTACAGTTGTTGTTTCTCCCCAGTTGTCATCCTACAGTGGGAAGGGGAAGAAGAAGAAAGGATAAGCGGAGAAGGTAGAGGGAGGGGCACATGGGAAAGGAGTCAGCAGAAAGAAGAGGGGAAATCAACAAACATACAATCATCAGAGAATTCGCTGAGCTCCACCATGTACCCGTCTTGTCTCTGCAGAAATCGCTACATAAAACCCAAGTCCTTGGGGAGCTGCACAGAGATCAGGGACAGTGATGACCCTCAGAAAACAGAACACAGGACAGCTGCCAGGGGAACAACTGCCAGGGCAGTGACAATGACCCAAGGGCAGGCTTGCCAGGCAAAACAGGCAGCTTCCAGAGAGTGATAGGACCCGGGCTGACCCCCCCAGCGGCTGGTGACATGCATAAGCTCATCTGAATTAGTGATTCCCAACCCCAGCTGCACACATTAGAATCACCTAGGGAGCTCGGAAAACATACCAATTATGCAAAGTGAGAGTTGCCTGTCAACCTTTTTTTAAAAAGCTCCCGAGATGGTTATAATGCTCAGCCTCGATTGGGAACCCTGAACTAAATGATCTCCTGGGGCTGCTGTCAGAATGCACTCTGTGGACCAGCAGTGTGGGAGTCGCCTGGGAGCATGTGAGAGACAGGCCCGTCCCACAATTACTGAGCCACAGTCTGCACTTAAACAAGATGCCTGTGAACTGTTTCAACTTAGGGCAGGCTCTCCTAAGTTTCTTCCAGCTTTTGCAGAAGTCCATGACTTCAACAGAAGCCAGAGACAGCGACTCAGGGCAGAGATTCAGGGAGTTGCAGATCCGAGTGCAGGGACAGAGAACAGAGTGCCTAGGAAAGGGAAGTCAAAAGTCATATGTGCAGGCCATGTGGCAATGCCAGGCTAAGCAACAGACATCTGTCCCAGTCCAGAGAGGTAATGCATGATGACCCCAGCACACAGGCGACTGAAACAGGAAGGCTGTGTGAGCTCAAGATTAGCCTGGGCCACAGTGGATCAGCACAGTCTCAAAGAAGAAGAAGAAAACAAAAAGCCAGGGGCTTTTACATGCCTGTAATCCTAGTACAGAGGCAGAGGAAGAAAGATCAGAGGTTCAAAGCCATCCTCAGTTATATTAAGTCAGTTCAAGGCCAGCCTGAGCTACATGAGACCTTGTCTGTTAAAAAAGCCATCCACCCTCCAACCATGAGGCGCTATCACCATTTTCTCACTACAGGACAAGAGGAGACGGGAAGGCCTGTGAATGGTCTAAATAGGATATGGGGAACACTGTAGACTCGGGTGTCACTGTGGGTTTCTATGAAGCTAGATCTGCTGTGCAGTCATCTAAATAACCATGGTACAGGGTCCATGGAGGTAAGCAGTGGACAGGCCGGGCTCCACGGATGTCCTTCAGAGTGTGATCTACACAAATCTGTTTCTCTAGCTGGAGACCATCCTACAAAGAAGTCTCGAGACCACCAGGACTTTCAGTACCCACAATTCACTTCCAGTTCATCCTGGGTATATGGAGTCACACCCTGAAACCCTGGGAATGCAGGCTCCAGGACTGAGCCACAAAGTGCAGTGTAGGGGGTGGCCATGACTAGAGAGCTGAGGAATCTCCTCTCCCAAGGATGGGGGAAGGATCTGATCTGAATATAGAAAGTAGAAATGTTGGCCACTGTCAGCTGTGGGACTGGAACCACACCCTCACCCAGTGACCCAAGATACACTGTCTACCCTCTCAAGGATCAAGGCCTAGGGAACCCCATCCCAACAGGAGGTGAGCTAATCATATCTCAAGATCACTTCAAAAGTCTCTGAGGCCTGGTATCGCAGAAAGAAAAGAGTTCCCAATGTCAGGCAGCCCTGTCCCCCTGAGGAAAAAAAAGCTAAAAGCCTCCACTGCCTGATTCTTCCAAGAAGAAAGTACAGGAATAATAAGACTTGGGCAATCTCAGCGTACTACAAATTCTGTCCCTCCTAAATTCCAGGACTGTGTTCTACCTATTGTCCTCTCCACCCAGGGAACACAATGAACAAGAAGTTAGGATAGAAGGGCTCCTTCTGCCCTGAAGTCTTTTCCAAGGTGCCTCCCTTAACTGCTCAGCCTCTCCCCTCTCTTAGCTCCATTTACCCTTCTTCCCAAACCTCTTTTCCCCAGGACCCAGGCGATGCTGTTCCACATGCTAACAGCAGAGGGTGTAAACCTGAGACTCTAGGGACACCTGCAGTCTACTCACCAAGACTGCTGTCCTCCTACTCCAGCCTGCACCAGCCTGACTGGCTGACAGGAGCTTAGAGAAATTGGGACATTTCTCCTTACTCAGCTAAACCCTTGAAAAAGGGTAGGAGCTAATGCCTCCAAAAGGGTTTCCCCTAAAATTCCATGAATTCCAACAAGGCCCTACCGAGGAACACTAAACAAAGGAAGGGAATAGTAGTGCACACCTGTAATCCCTACGTTTAGGAGTCAAAGAAGGATTCCATTTTAGAACCAGTCTTGAGGCCAGGCATAGTAGCACACACCTTTAAACCCAGCATTCAGGGGGCAGAGGCAGGCAGATCTCCATGAGTTCAATGCTAGCCAGGGCTACACTCTGAGACCCTGTCTCATAACAAAAATAACAACAAAACAAGACCTAAGACCAGCCTGGGCTATATAGTGAGTTCAAGTCTTGCTTAAGCTACAAAAGGAGAACCTATCTTGAAAAACAAAAGGATACCCTTCTGGATCCTGTATCTATCCAAGGAGACAAGATAACCTCTCTCAGCCCTTCCCATGCCTAGTGGAGTCCCCACCTCCCCCGGGAATCAGGAAATGTCAAATCTAAACCACTTTATCCCCAATACTCACTCACCCGTTCATCTCCCCTCGTGGACTCATTGTCCAGCAGGGGCTCTCCTGGAGCCTGGATCGTCACTGATTTATCTCCACGGCTTCCATCCCGGCTCTTAGAGCGGTGTCGGTCCCGGCGGTCCCTGCAACAGGAAGCCAGAGAAACAGGAACAAAATGTCAGGAGGGGACTCTTTCAGCAGCCCCCTACACCCTCCCCCCCCCCGCCCACCTCAGCATATACTACCTCTCCACCAGCCAGACCGTTCTATCATTTACCTGTACCCACCTGTGCTTTCGGGAGCTGCGGGAATGGCCCGACTTGTAAGAATAGCCCGAGTACTGGGACTCGGTGTCCATGGCGTCTGAACGCCGTGCCTTGTAGCGCTCCAGGGCCGCGGGCTGGGGCCTCTTGGGGGGCCCCACAACCACCTCCTTCAGCACGGGCTTCTTCAGGCCAAGAGGCACCTTTAGGAAGTCAACTGTCACCCTGAGGGACTCTATTTTGCTGGACGAGTGGGCTTATCTCAGAGAAATTCAAGCGACGATCCCTAAGGAGATAAAGCAGTTGCTTAGGGGTAGCTGGAGCTCCCCATGGTGAGAGCACAAAAGAAAACCATCCCCAGATGTCTCCAGAAGCTCTGGTTAGCCCAGACACTACCTGATAATAGTTCACTTTTGGGTCCCGTTCTGTCCAATGGGCTCAGTTCCTCCTGCTTTGCCAGCTAGAAAGACCCTCCAACCAGTGTGTCCAGATTCAGGACTGGGGAAAATGCTAGCACAGGCTCCCAGGACAAGAAGGACACCCCGAATAACCCAGCTTGGATGCCCCAGTGGGAAGAATCCAGGCAGTACTTTCCTAGTCTCAGCCAGGAAAATGGACACTTAGAGACACATGTATGTGTAAGCTCACGAAGTCTCAGTCTCTCTCTCTCTCTCTTTCTCTCTCTCCATCTCTCACTGATGAGTGGATGGAAGATGAAGACTGACAGCATGGTGGAGTGAATAAGCAAACAGAAGGATCCACCTAAAATCTCTGGACAAGCAAGATCCTAGTCTCTCTCCGCTCTGGGCTGATGGGCAAGCAACCTCTTTTACCTATACTGCACATCTAACTCTACAGCAGAGGATGGTATCTCCTCCCTGACTTCCCACCATCCTTCAGAGCCCAGCCCCAACTTTCACAAAAGCCTCCCAAAAGCCTCCGATACTCTAGCAAAATGGGTCATCTTCTCCACTGCTGCGAGACACTAACTTAAGTCATCACTGTGCCCGGAGCACTTCCTGTCTTCACTCACTGATGGAGCAAGCATGCCTCTCTAAGTCACCTACTTTGAACTATATACTGTGCTATGCCCTGGGCATTGTGGTGTAACGGACAGCTAAGCCAATAAACACAAGGAACCATGTCAGTGTGGTGGAGGTCAGACGACAACAGGCAAATGTGTATCGGGGATTGAACCCTGTGACCTAAGCAAGCATTCTACCACTGAGCCCTGTGCAGATAAACTGCCTGTCTGGAAACGTAGGAAAATGACAGTTAAACTGATACCCAAGAAAGGAAGACAAAGTCCCAAGAGGGGAAGGAATAACAGGACACCAGGGAAGGCCAAGTCAAGAAAGGGCTCTGTGCACTTAAAGAACACAGCTGAAGACAAGAGAGGGTAGAAGCGGGGGGGGGGGGGGGCGGCAAGCGAAGAGGTCGGGTTTTATGGAAAAGTTATCAGGAAGCCTATTTGGCTGTGCAGATTTGGGTTGTAAAGAAGAAAAAGCAGAATGGAAAGATCAGCGAGGTCTCATGGCAAAAAGACTTGGCCACCAGAACCAAGGAAGAGGTAAGAAATGGACTCACAGAACCAACCAGACCTGATAAAAAGCTGGCTGAGGGGGTGAGAAGCAACAAAAACGCCCAGCCAAGCACACAAAATAAGTAAGTAAAATGCAATCCAAAAAAAAAAAGTCTACTGTGAGCATGGGAGAAGGTACTGAGTATCTGGTAAGGCAGTGGAGAATTAAAAGACACATTTGGGAGTACACTGTTTATGAAAGAGCATGTGTGGAAACAAGCAAGCACTCATGGCTGTGGGGAATGGACAGTTGGGCATCCAAGAACTGCAGTCTGAGCAGGAGGTATGGGCCACAGGCAGTGCACTGAGCTCAGGAGAGGACTATGTAATTGGATGCAAGAACTCCAAACTGCACATAGTGGGGTTATGGGAAAGATCAAGCAAAGAGGCCGAGGAGAAACCAGAGGCCAGCAGAGTGTAATCTCATGTCAGCCAATAAGACAGGCAGACTTCCAGACAGGAATGGATGCAACCAGGTCCAATGCTGCTGAGAAGTCCATTGTTTTACGCACTGGAACAGACTTGCTTTGTGGAGTTACCCTTTTTCCAACTACTTTAAATCACCAGCAGCTGGAGAATGAGCAGAATAAAGTCATACATATTTGCAGACACCTGCCCTCCTGTGGGTACAGAGCAAGTAAACCTCCCCTCCGGCAGGTACAGGGCAAGTAACTGATACCCACCCAGTAAAGGAATACACTTGTCTGAATTGCAGGGAGATAAACATCAATGTGAAATCTATTCATTTCTCCTCCTAACAGAAGCAGTGCATGAGCCAGTGATATCAATACCCCCATATCAAAGCAATGGGTGACAGAGACATACTTTGGGGGCAGATAGACTTCAACCCAAACCTGAACCTCTCTCTAAGACAGGGCCACAAACAGCCCATCCCATGCTCACCCCTCTGTCTGCAAATTACATGTTGGGCTTCTCTACCCCTCCCCTGGAACCCACTCTACTGGTTTACTCCTCTGTACAGTTTAGACAGTTGCGGCTGAACTGCTTTTTTGATGTGGTTCCCACCTATTCTTTCTAGTTCTCCTTTTAAAAACTGAATTTTGGAAACCAGCATAGGCCTGACCCAGACTCCCTGAACATGGGTGTCAGTCAGGAGGACTGGGCAGTCTATGGGGCCTCTAGTAATGGATCAGTATTTATCCCTAGTGTACGAATGGACTCTGGGGGCCCATCCCACATAGAGGGATACTCTCTCAGCCTAGACACAGGGGGGAGGGCCTAGGCCCTGCCCCAAATTATATGACAGACTTTAAAGATTCCCCATGGAAGGCCTCACACTCCCTGGGGAGCAGAAAGGGGATGGGATGGGGGTTGAGAGGGGGCAGGGAAGGAGGGGAGAGTGAGGGAACTGGGACTGACATGTAGAACAAGCTTGTGTGAAATTTAAATTTAAAAAAACATTATCTTAAAAAAAAAAAAAAAAAAAAAAAAAAAAAAAACCCTGATCTTTGCCAGGAGGCTCTAAGACCAACAGATGCCGTAGTGGGGGATGAATGGCAAAGAAGTGCCATAGATTAGATCCAGACACTCAGCCCTCTCGTTCGTCATCCTCACCCCAAGTACCTGCTCTCTATCTGCCAGAGCCAACAGCAGAAAGAGCCTGGGATTTACACAAAGATCTGGGTTTAAAATCAACCTCTCCCATTGCTGAGCTATGTGACTGTCAGCAAGTTACTGACCCTTCTGTGCTTACGGCCCAGTGGGCCCTTTGGTAAAACAAGAGGTGATGATACCTCCTTCATGGGGTAGCTTCAAGGAACACAGGGATGAAGGAAATGCTTATATAGACTGTGCAGCCACTAATAGTTAAGCAATTAATAAGCTCTCAAACTCCAGCCCCCAACCACTTCCTCTGAAACTAGGGAAGGCGGTGGTATAAATTGTACGACTAAATAAAGAACTCTCTCCAACACACACCCCTACCAGACCCACTACTTCAAACACACCCAGATGTGAGGTGAAGCTGCTCTGTTTCCCCTGCAGATAAATTTCAAGCCAGACAGGGTGCCAACCATCTCCTAACTCTTTGTTCTGAGCTACATAGCCTGGAGTCCCCTCCCATTCTCCCTAGCAAAAGACAAACCCCACAGCTACCCAAAAAGCAACAAAACATACTCTTCCCTCAACTACCAAACATAGGGGGCACAAAGGACCACAACTTATGAAGCCTTTGCCTGCTGTCCTTTTGGGTACCCAAGGCAGCTAATCCCAGCATTGGGAAAGGATAAAAGGTAGGCTAAAAAGATGGGCAGAAGTTCCCCTTTACTTAATCAGTCTCAAGAATCAGATTTGGAGGGTCTCCCGGGTGGGCAACGTTCCCAGGAAACGAGGTGGGGGAGGGGATTCATGGATGAGATCAACAAGTAGAAATGTCAGAGCAATGAGAAGACAGGAGAGAAGTCTGGAATTGGCACAGGGAAGAGAGCTGCACCCAGCTGAGGGGCAGAGGGTGGGGGCTGTTAAAGCGAATATGCCACAATGTTTCGAATATGCCACAATGTTTCGACTCACCCCCACTCCTCAAGACACAAACACAGGCACCTAGTCCCTTACTCAAACCAGCCATGGATTATCTGGGGTTAAAGGGAGGCCAAAGAGGAGAGAGGGAGAGCAGAGAGCCCCACACAAAAAGGAGACCCTTCTCCCCTCCAGAGGCCTTTCAGAAATAAAATTAATGGAATGTCTCAGTATCGTCCCAAGGGAATTGGGGGGAGGGCTGAGGGGAATGTGGGGGCTTTTGTCCCGGCTGCCCAGCTTCTCCCACATTGATCACCATAGCAACCAAAGCCCCCTGTTGCCTAGGTGATGGCAGCCAGGTCCTGGAACCCATACCCAGCATCCAAAGCGAGAAAGGTTATAGAGGTGGGGGAATGGGACAGAGAGGGAGAGAATGGGGTTTCTCCTCTGGCAGCCCCAGCTTTTGTCTAAGCTCGGGATCGGGTTTCTTCAAGAAACAATCGGAGGCCTCTAGAAAAAAATAAACAGAAAACCTGGCAAGAGGGCCCTGGGGTACATGGTATGTGGGAGGATGTAGGAATGGGGTAAATACAGAACAGACCAGGACCAAATGACCCTTCCTCAGTGGCCACTCACAGGCACAGCCAAGTGAACAGTCAAGTGTTCTGAGTGTGCACATGCATGCACACACGCACACAAGGCACCCCACGTGTGGCAGGTGCTCAGGACAACAACCAGGCAGAGGAGCCTGTGTCATGGCCTCCTTTTGCCACCGCTCTAGCCCTGCAGTGCAGTTTGGTCTTCAGAGCTGGACTGGGGACATGAGGCAGAACACAGTGAGGCTACATCTGGGATGAAACAGGAGCCAGTGTGACTCAGCCAGACCAGAAAGGTAGGGAAGGGACGGATCGCAGGTGCACACCTCAGAAGGGGCTGACTGCTCTTCATCTATACCCATATAACAGGGATGGAAGTAGCAGGCCTGTGGGGCGGAGGTACCCGGGTTTCATGAGGATGGGAACGTGGACAAGAAACTAAGAGTTCTGCTTTTTCAGAGACCTGTCTCTGCCAGGCCCCTTTTCCTCTTCTCAGCCAGGGACCAGGAAGGGTGGTCCTGACTGGGCACAGTTACTCCTTTGGAGGCCTCCTGAATAGGCAGGCAACCATATGTGGGATCTTGCCGGTTACAGCCCTCTGATTCCTGCACAAGAGACAGACAGGGTCTT